ACTTTGATCGAGATTTTATTCAGTTTATAGAATAATTTAGGGGAGAATTGATTCTTTCACAGCTTTGAGCCTTCATAGTTAAGAACATGGTCATTTCATTTATTCAGATCTTTTGTCTGTCCTTGAGGATTTTTTATTAATTTATTCCCAAGTGTATTGTCTTGGTTTCTCTGTCCCTTCAGTGAAATGTCTTTTAAATTTGACGAGATTCGGGGCGCCTGGGTGGCGCAGTCGGTTAAGCATCCGACTTCAGCCAGGTCACGATCTCGTGGTCCGTGAGTTCGAGCCCCACGTCAGGCTCTGGGCTGATGGCTCAGAGCCTGGAGCCTGTTTCCGATTCTGTGTCTCCCTCTCTCTCTGCCCCTCCCCCGTTCATGCTCTGTCTCTCTGTGTCCCAAAAATAAATAAAAAACGTTGAAAAAAAAATTTAAATTTGATGAGATTCTTTTTTTTTTTTTTTTTTTTTTTAAGTAGGTTGAACCTCTGGGAAAATGTCACGTTTTATAATCTGTAATATTAGCTTTCTAAACTGGCTCTTCACTATGTCTGCATTCCTAAACCAACAAGCTGTAATTCCCGCAGTCCTTAAAACAAATCCGGAAATGGCTGGTTTCTGACAGTAGCTGTTATTCTTTAGTTACTGATACAAATAACAACAAATTTCCCATGAAGATGGCAATGCATTGTGGACCAAATTAGATATGAATGCAGACTTGCAACTTCAGCTATTTAAGTATGACATTTGGGAAGCTTTGTATTAAGGGAAAGAAACAAACCTGTAATTATAAGACAGTTTCATAAGGCATGCATGTGCCAACCTGCCCAGCCTCCTTAGACCATTTACACGATTCATTTATGGCACCTGGGAATCTAGGATCTTCTGCTGTCTAAATGAGCTGCCTTTGTGTCCAACCCTATTTTATCCCAAGTTGACTATTGCTAAAAGCAGCTACCACTATTCATTGAGATTCTACTGTGTGGGATCCAACTTTGTGTTACAGCAAAGAGGTAGAGGTGGTTTTTAGTTAGTTCTGTGTGTCTCTAAACTCTTCGGGCACTTGGACTACTCTGTAGGGCTTCCTGGCATGTGTGGCTTGCATGTGTGTGGGTGTCGTTTGGAGGGCTTCTTTGTTGTGGGAGCTTGATGACAGGAGGAAGTAGTAGTCATGCTTTTAACAAACCTGCTAATGCTGCTTCTAAAATACAGAAATTTTAGATGTATTTTACTCAGTTGATTGAGCATCCACCTTCGGCTCAGGTCTTGATCTCACGGTTCATGGGCTCAGGCCCCGCATCAGGCTCTGTGCTGACAGCTCAGAGCTGCTTCGAATTATTTGTTTCCCTCTCTCCCTGCCCCTCCCCCACTTACTCTCTGTCTCTCTCTGTCCCTCTCAAAAATAAACAAACATTAAAAAAATAAAATACAGGACTCTTTTATAATATCCCTTTTTTTTAAGGAGTTTGCTTTATTAAGTACTTCAGTGTATTTTAAATTTTTTTTTTCAACGTTTTTATTTATTTTTGGGACAGAGAGAGACAGAGAATGAACGGGGGAGGGGCAGAGAGAGAGGGAGACACAGAATCCGAAGCAGGCTCCGGGCTCTGAGCTGTCAGCACAGAGCCCGACACGGGGCTCGAACTCACGAACCGTGAGAGCATGACCCGAGCTGAAGTGGGACGTTTAACTGCCTGAGCCACCCAGGTGACCCAAAAGATTTGTTAATTTAAGGCCATTAACCACTATGCAAGACTATAAGGTGAATCCTTAACTTTATTTTAGGGGGAGAAAATAATTTTCAGTTCGTTAAGAACCATTCATTTAAATATAAACAATATTAGTTATAAATTATGTATTAAAGCAGCTTGAACCTTTACTTTTCATATATAATGGTCTATATATTCCTTCAACCTTAGTAAAATATTGTATCAGCATTTTATGATGCAGAAAGACTTTCTAGGCCAAATTAGTGTAGCTTGTGGTGTATATTATGAAGGAGTCCAAACACATTAAAAGGTGTAAAGAATAACGTACGACCCATATACCGAACACCTTGCCTAAGGTATAAACTTCTACCCATATAAGTGGTCTGTGTACTTCTTTCGTATTGCATACTCCTTCCTTTGGCTCAGAAATAACAATTATCTCTTTTTTAAACGTAATACAAGCTATGTTTTTTTAAAAAATTTTTTTTATTTAAGTAATTTTTTTTTCAATATATGAAATTTATTGTCAAACTGGTTTCCATACAACACCCAGTGCTCATCCCAAAAGGTGCCCTCCTCAACACCCATCACCCACCCACCCCTCCCTCCCACCCCCCATCAACCCTCAGTTCGTTCTCAGTTTTTAAGAGTCTCTTATGCTTTGGCTCTCTCCCACTCTAACCTCTTTTTTTTTTTTTCCTTCCCCTCCCCCATGGGTTTCTGTTAAGTTTCTCAGGATCCACATAAGAGTGAAAAGATATGGCATCTGTCTTTCTCTGTATGGCTTATTTCACTTAGCATCACACTCTCCAGTTCCATCCATGTTGCTACAAAGGGCCATGTTTCATTCTTTCTCATTGCCATGTAGTACTCCATTGTGTATATAAACCATAATTTCTTTATCCATTCATCAGTTAATGGACATTTAGACTCTTTCCATAATTTGGCTATTGTTGAGAGTGCTGCTGTAAACACTGGGGTACAAGTGCCCCTATGCATCGGCACTCCTGTATCCCCTTGGGTAAATTCCTAGCAGTGCTGCTGGGTCATAGGGTAGGTCTATTTTTAATTTTTTGAGGAAACAAGCTATGTTTTTGAACTTTGCATAAATGGTAATGTGCTCTGACTCTT